CCATTGACTCACTTACCTACAATGAATTTAACGAAAAGAAACAATATTTATCTCCAGTTTGTTGTTCGTATATACAAACATGCATATACACAGAAATAAATTCATATCTATCAATCAGATATATATGTACATTTATCTATCTATCTATACGTTAGATATACATATCTCGACCGATAGATAGGCATTTATTTCAGTGTTTTAGTAAAAAAAAGCACTCGACTGTTTTTATTTTTATTTTATTTTATTTTCATTTTTTTATTCTTTTTTTTATTATTTATTTTACGTTTGACACTTGGTTCTTTTATGTCTCATTTTATTCTATTTTTACATTTTACTGGTTTCTCTTTTTGCAAGAATATCGCTTACTTTATTAATTCATTATTGATTTGAATGCATTGGCGATATGGATATATTATCGATATATTATAAATATATTATTTTTTTAAGCGTAATAAACCTCAAAATATTTTTATCGCTTATTACGTATATCGTTCTTCACGGTGTTATATAAACAGATTGATCTATGGATCTCTTTTGTCTCTTGAAATTGCTTTGATAATATGGATCAAATACTTAAACCTAACCTAACCTAACCTAACCTAACCTAACCTAACCAAACCTAACCTAATCTAATCTAACCTAACCCTAACACTAAATCTAGATCTAACCTAACCTAACTAACCCTAACCTAACCAACCTAACCTAACCTAACCTAACCTAACCGCCAACCCAACCCAACCAACCAACCCAACCCAACCCAACCGCCAACCAACCCAACCCAACCCAACCCAACCGCAACCTAACCCAACCTAACCCAACAACCCAACCCAACCCAACCCAAACCCAAACCCAACCCAACCCAACCCAACCCCTAACCCAACCCACCCAACCCACCCAACCCAACCCAACCTAACCCAACCAAAACCGCAACCCAACCAACCCAACCAAACCCAACCACAACCCAATCCCAACCCAACCTAACCATAACCTAACCTAACCTAACCTAACCTAACCTAACCTAACTAACTAACCCAACCTAACCTAACCTAACCTAACAACCTAACTAACCCAAACCTAACCAACCTAACCTAACCTAACCTAACCTAACCTAACCAAAAAACCCAACCCAAAAACCCAACCTAACAACCTAAAACCTAAAACCCTAACCTAACCCAACCTAACCTAACCAAAACCTAACCTAACCTAACTAACCCAACCCAACCCAACCCAAGACCCAACCCGCAACCCAACCCCAACAACCCACCAACCCAACCCAACCCACCCAACCCCAACCAACCCAACCCAACCCAACCCAACCAACCCAACCCAACCCAACCCAACCCAAAACCCAACCCAACCCCCCAACCAACCCACCCAACCCAGCCCAACCCAACCAACCCAACCTAAACCCAACCCAATAACCCCAACCCAACCCAACCCAACCCAACCCAACCCACCAACCCAACCCACCCAACCTAACCTAAACAACGTAACATAACATAACATAACAAAAACATTGCCAATAATAACATAACATAACATAACATAACCATAAGACATAACATAACATATATATACCGAATACAGTATATAAGCCACTCTCTTAAACCCGGTATCAGGTATAAATCCAAGCTTATCTTCTTATTAACCTTATCTTGCGATAGAGAACAAATATCCACTAGTACCCATTCATGATAATATTGTGTGAAGTAGGGGGGCGGGCCGTCAGTGATAGGGAGGGGAGTGAATGTGTGTGTGTATGTGTGTGTGTGTGTGTGTGTGTGTGTGTGTGTGTGTGTGTGTGTGTGTGTGTGTGTGTGTGTGTGTGTGTGTGTGTGTGTGTGTGTGTGTGTGTGTGTGTGTGTGTGTGTGTGTGTGTGTGTGTGTGTGTGTGTGGTGTCTGGTGTGAGTGTCTGTATTCGTAGATTATCTTTAGTCTGTAGTCTCAGATAATAACAGAGAAAGCAAGCGAAAGAGAGAAGGGGGGAGACAGAGAAAGGGAGGAGAGAGAGAGAGAGAGAGAGAGAGAGAGAGAGAGAGAGAGAGAGAGAGAGAGAAGAGAGAGAGAGAGAGAGAGAGAGAGAGAGAGAGAGAGAGAGAGAGAAGAGAGAGAACAGAGAGAGAGAGAGAGACAGAGACAGTGACAGTGAGAGAGAGACAGAGACAGAGTAGCAGAGACAGAGAGAGACAGAGACAGATTGGAGATAGAGATAGAGAGAGAGAGATAGAGATAGAGAGAGAGAAAGAAAGAGAGAAAGAAGGAAAGAGAGAGAGACTGAATGAAAGAGAAAATGACAGGCAGAAAGACAGACATAGAGACGGATATACACACACATACACAGAGAAAGAAAAGAAAAACAAGAAGGCAGAAAAAATAACAAACGAGAAGAGAGAAAACCCACGATAATTTCACATCGAAATAACGAAGACGAGATAAGCCTATCACAACTCCCCCCACCCACCCACCCCCACCCCCACTAAACGGACACCTGCAGCAAGT